TTCATAACTCTGAGACCCATGAAACAGAATCCACTACAGAATGTATTGTCATTTCAAAGAATTTTCAACCAATGATAGCCTTTTGAGGAGTTGGAGCCATTGAAATTGATAAATAGTTTGAGGTACACTGAAATCATTATGTTTCAATACACGTTGAATATCTAATGACATTCCAATCAACAAACAGACCTGATATTAGGAAATTTAGTTCAATTAAGGAATGAGGGGTGAATACAATTTCAAGTTCTAAACATGTAATGTTGTTGCGATTCAATGAGCATATAACAACGTAAACCTATATGTCGTAGTTAACCTTTCAAACAAACCTCACCTAGCATTAGACTTGTCTAAAAGCTCATCTGGATATATGCGCCTATATTGCTGTCGCCACCGGAACCTATAATCTCAGCGAATGAAAATCCAACATGAGCCACTCATAACACAAATTTACATAACCAACAGAATAAACCAAACTTTTACAAATTTAGGTACCCTAGTCAATATCTATCACCTTATCACATCATCACCCAAAAAAACAGCAAAATCGAAGACTTGGGTCACTTGCCAGAACCCGCCATCGGCTCAGCGGTTAAGAACAGTAAACATCACCCAACAGAGCAATTCAGAGCAAAAACCATACATCTGAATCTGGTTTTGCACAGCAATGTTTTGTCCCCAATATTATTAAAACGTAAAGCTGCGCGGCTCAAATCAGCAAGACCACATATTTTCTACTTCTACATAAAATTAATCACATTATCAGTTCTTTCCTTTCATTTCTTTTCCACAACTTTCTGTGCAACTAAGCACTACCCTTTTTATCTAGTTCACTTTCTCGCATTTTCTGATCAACCAAACAGAAAATAAACAAGACAGAGAAACATAGAGATTAAGAAGCAAACTTACGCCAACTCCTGATAGGCATAAACGACGGGGTCGATTTTGGAAATAACAACAGGCAGCCTCTCGAAGAGCACGGACGCAATGATTTTCTCGGAAGAAGACGATGAGCTCGTGGATAACCCTCTGCCTCTGGCCAGAGGGCCACGCAAAATCGTGATGGTCCTCTACATTCTGGAACGGTGGAGATTTTTCAGGCATAGCACCTTCTAAAATCCTAAATTCCCAGAATCGGTAGTGCACTCATGTACAATGAAAAACGGAGTGCATGAGTGCAGCGCGATTGATTTCTCTTTGTACAGAGAGGGAGCGCTGCAGACGATGCCGTTTTGCTCAATTTCGAAACAAAAGTTCTATGGTGCATCTTGATTTTAATATTTTTGTCTAAAAGAAATGCTAGGAGACTATCTCAAAAGTGTACCTCAGATAACCAATCATAGAACATCTCATCTATTGGAGAGCTAATGAAGTGATCTCTTTAGACGAAAGAATCAGAAACTCTTCGCCAGTTGAGACTTGGATAGGTAACTAACCAACCAGAAGTAGTGTTGTTAATCCAAACTGAAGATGCTCCTAAATCATCTAATTCTACGGTTCCAATGATGTTAGTCCAAACTGAAGATGTCGCTTTGTTATCAAAACAGTGTTTATCCAAACTAAAGATGTGTTGACGAGAGGTTTAGGATAATTAGTATTTTACTTAGGGTGTGAGAAGGGTTTCACATAGAGACATTGTTTATCCAGACAGAAGGATGTGTTGATGAGAGGTTTAGGATAATTAAGTATTTTTCTTAGGGTTGTGAAAAGGGTTTCGCGTAGAGCGAGGTTTTTCGCGTTGAGCGTTTTGAGTTAAAGGGCTTCTCATGGTACAAAACCACTTCTATTTATAGGGGTGGATTTCGTGATAAGCAAATTTTTCGAGGTAGAGTTCTGATAGGACTATGCCCTCTCGGCACTCACATGGATCTCTTCTTACTTCATCTCTTTAAATCCCCTCTTTAGCCGAAACTCAATTTCTATCCGGTCTCGACTTCTTTGACTTGGATTAGGATTCTAAACCTTGTCACTTTATGCACTTAACTCATTCTCATATGATCAGCCACATGTTTCGATTACTGAAATAATTCGAACCTTATCAGAACCTCATTCTAATCCTTGAAAATTTTAATTCAATCAAGACTTGATCGAGCCATGTCTAAATCCCTTGGCAATCCTACTTCCATTAGAATTGATCGAATCAATGCTCTTCTAGGCTGAGAGTCAACTGGCCTGAAAAAATAACCTTGGGTTGGAAGTCAAAGCCTTCCAACCCAAGATATCCTTTCTTGGCCCAAATCCTATATTTAAAAAACACCAATGCCTGTATAGGTCTTTTGACTTCAATACGTGGCCAAGTGAATTTTGTCCAATGCACATCAAAAGTACACATTTAAGTAACATATTTCAACTAAAGTTATTATATTCCATTAGGTCAAACTATTTATCTGCTATTGTTCAAATGTGTAACTTAAATGTGTACTATAAAAGAACATTTTGTGGCCAAGTGGCATTGTTCCATAAATGTTTGGGCTGCCTTGCGGGCAGGTAAATTGGACTTGTTTCTTGAAATTTACATAGGACTTTTGGACTTAAGTATCAACAAAATATATCTATAAAAATTTATTCGAGTTTCGATTCATTTGTTCACTAAATTCTGTCATCAGCAAAAACTAACACAAAGTTGAAGTAAAAATTAGCACACATGGTTAGCCTTTTCCTTTCTTTTTGTCTTAGAAAAAGTTTCACTGCAAATTTGCAAGTGGTGGATGATAAATTGTAATTTCTTGTGTGATTTATGTGGCTGCAGAGCCAAACTTATACAGGAAATAGGAGTCTATAAAAGGCAATTTACAAGACTTGGGGACTACTCTAAGTCAACGAGACAATAAAGGAAAATACAATATTCCTAAATCAATTACAATTAAACTAAATCTTAATAGTCCTTCTCAAGTTGGAGCATGGATGTCTAACATGCCTAACTTGTGCACCAAATTACAAAAGGCTGTATTACCCAAAGCTTTGATAAACAGGTCAACAATTTGAGACATGGATGACACAAAGTGACAACTTGACCTGCTTGAATTTTCTCTCATATCACATGATAATCTATTTCAATGTGCTTTGTGCGTTCATGGTATACCGGATTGGCAGCCATAGATCTGTACTCTGCTTCAGCCGATGACCGAGACAGTTTTTTTGTTTCTTTATCTTCCATGTAGTAGCAGCCATACAATATCCCAATGTTGATCTTCTAGTCATAGGGCAATTAGCCCAATTTGAATCACAAAAACTCTTCAAACACAACTCACTTTGTGAGGAAAATAATAAGCCTTTCCCTGGACTTTTTTTTTAAAATAACGAAGAACTCGAAGCACGGCATCCAAATGTGATTTTCTTGGTTGATGCATAAATTGGCTTAGAATATTAATTAACGGCTTAGGTAATGAGGCCTGGTGGTTGTGAGATAAATAAGTCTACCAACCAGTCTTCTATACCGAGATGGATTATTGAGAACTTCACCTTGATCATCGGTAAGTTTCAAATTTTGCTCCATAGGAAAATCAACTGGTTGAGCTCCCAAAAGTCCCGCATCATCCAGAACATCAAGAGTATATTTCCGTTGAGAAATAGCAATCCCTGCCTTTGATCTTGCAACTTCGATTCCAAGGAAATATTTCAAGTGGCCCAAATCTTTGATACGAAAATGTTTCTGAAGAATTTTTTTTCAGATTTTGAATAGCTTTGGCATCGTTTCCTGTGATCATCATGTCATCCGCATAAGTCAGTGAGGACATCAGTTTGTTGTGTGGAGAAAGGAAAAATGGTTTCATGAAAGATGACATCTCTAGTGGAAATTGGTGAGTGGAGAGATCGTAGACTCGATAAGCTTTTTGACCAAGAGGATATCCTACAAAAACGCATCGACGAGCACGAGGGGTAAATTTAGATGAAGGTTGAGTGTTTGTGGCATAACAACGAGATCCAAAAACACGAAGGTTATGGTAGTCAGGAGGTTTGTTGTATAGTAGATCAAAAGGTGATCGTTTGTGAAGTATGGGCGTGGGAAGGCGATTGATAAGATAGGCAGCGGTGAGACCTTTCTCCCCAAAATCGGATGGGAAGGTTGGCCAAGGCGTTGGTGCCAGAGAGGAGCGGAAGGAGAGGCGACTTGCAGAGCGGTTTTTGATAGTTTGGTTTGTGGCGATGGTTGAGAGTTCTCTTGCACTATCAAATAATACAATCCGTTAATTTGGCCAATCATCTTCTTCGAAGCCAGGTCCTGTAAGACACAAAATGTGGGGAAGAAGTGAGCAGAGCATTTTAATTTGCGAGTTAATTTACCGGCAGAGAGCAAATTAACACGAAAGGATGGAACACACAAACACCATCAGTGTGCAATTTAGAATTATCGTGGTTGAACCAATGCCGTTAATTTTGGCATGAGACCCATCTGGCAAGTTAACGTAAGAATTCAATGGTGTCATAACAGAAACAAACTGATTTGAGGCAATGTGATCAGTGGCACCGCCGTCAAGAACCCAATGCACTGTATTGGATGAAGAAGAGATGGCACAAAAAGGTTGTGTTCTACCTGCAAAATTTGCACATGGTTTACCATCTCGAACAAGAGCTTGAGTTGACTATACTCATCAGTTGTGAACTTGAATGCATCCTTGTCAATTAGTTTCGACGCGTTATGAGTCACCTGTGTCTGGTTTGAGGCATGAGATTTCTTTGCACGATTTGGCGGGTCAACAACCTTGCCGTGAAATTTATGGCCCGGAGGAAAACCATTGAGAAAAAAACATCGACCAATAGTGGGTGTTGTTCCATCACAGTTAAGAGCATTGAAGGGGTTTTCGAGATCCTTGTTTGTCAGAATTGGAAGTCTTTGCGGAAGCAGATTTATTAGACTTGGTGGAGGCGACATTCGTGGCTTGATATCTTGCTCGATAAAAACCGCATGGTAAAACCCCAAACCAAGAATAATACCACAAGATACGTCAAAAACAGAGAACACATCAATATAACTTCATTACTCAGAAATCTAGATGTTCATATCAACTAGAAACTCATCTGCAATAAGAAATCTTGATGTTGAATATGTAACACACACAAGAAAGGAAAAATAGTAAATACAAGGCTACTAACTTCTTCATAAAAGATAATCCTATAAATCAAATAGATAAAAAAAAAATTAGTATCTACATACATCACATCTTAAGGGAGGATACGATGTTCTTCCATTTGAACCAACGTACTCTCCATCATTGAGTACATTTAAACAACAAAAATACACATATAAACGAAGCATAAAGAAACAAAAAACACTCTGCTCATAATATAACCCATGCACAAACGCTAGGACACTTCAGCCACCTTGCTTGCGAGAACTCGTTCCTTTCTTTCGATGTATCCAAATGGGAACCAACCTGCTTTGCCTTTGCATTCGCCTTCCGCCCAACCATTGTTTGTCACCTGCAGAAAGAACATAATATAATCAACCTAGGAATTCGGAGCAACAACAATGAATTATAATTTAGCCATGGCTGATCTTTTTCGTTTGATTGTTTTATTTATTCAACAGAAGCAGCAGACACATGCAAATAAGGTAACAATACTGCAATCTGCAACCTGGATTCACTGACTTCCCTCAGATGACAGGCAATCTGAAACCCAATAAAGGTTCGGCCTAGCAAAAACCAACAGGATCGTACCTTATTGTTGCAAGGTTAAATTGTTCTAAACCCAACCTAAAGTGGGTCCAGTTGGTATGTATTAGTTATCACAATAAAAACGATAGATTGTTCACATTTTTCCATTTAGATTAGTTATTAGGTTGGTCCCAAGCCTGGGGCCAACCCGAATTCAGATTTTAAGGTAGTGAAGTATAAATCTAAGCATGTTGTAAACCTTTCGCACAACAACATAATCACCGACTGATAAACTGAGCTCTACGTCAGACACAGCTTGATATGTAAACATAACCTGCAATAAATTGACAAATATCAACATAAATGAACAGCCTTCAAGTGCACCAGTTGCATCATACAAGCAATACAAATGCAGAAATTTCTTTAATTACTAACCTCCCCTAAGAAGTAATTCATGCTGTCTGACGATCCATTATGTGTTTGAGAAGCATATATGCCATTAACTTCTTCATAAGGTGGTGGTGGAGGCATGGCATTTTCAACAGTAGGGCTAGAAGGCGCTTCAATTCGTTGTCGTTCTGTTACCATCTATCAATATCAGAAAACGCATTACCCAAAATCATCAATTGAAAGAGAAATAAAAAATGGGATTTTGCATAGTTGAGAAAATTAATCTATTTTGGGAGGGGGCGGGGGTGCATACCTCTCCTTCAAGTTGATCAAGTATCAGAAGGACCCTCTGATGATAAGACCGCTCTGCCTCGACCTTCAATCCAGAAAAAAATTGACAAGAAGAAAGACATTTTGATAAGAACAAAAGAAAGTTTAAACATTAATTTCCCAATATACAACAGGCAAACGTTTACTTAGGCTTAACGAATTTAACTCGAAGCATATATTGAGAAAACTTGTACTACCATGGCAATGAGTCGCTGGAGAGTCAACCTCTGTTGCTGAGCCTCAACAGCTGCCATTGCTGCAGCAGCTTCCTTCCCTAACATTGCCATATTTGACTTTAGATCTTGCAGCTTTGACTCTGCAGCTTCCATTTTCATAACATTCTCTGAAATTCCTGGTGTTTCCCTCACCTTTGCTTGGCGTTTGGAAACTTCAATAGCCTGTCTAGGTTCAAAAGAACACACAATGACATATTTGTACAAGAAATCCAACAGATGAATTAGCTTTCACCAATTTGCATGAATACTGGGTGCATCAGTTGACCCACATGGATTCCAGTCTAAAATATTGTTGTGGGAATAAAATATTCAGAAATACTAGAAAGTCTCGGGTAAACGCAGATTAAAGATACCTGAGCTTCAGCTTCTTGTCGCATTCTATCATAACGTTGAGCAAGATGCCGAGCATCCTCCAATGGAGCCCCCATTACCATTGCTCTTAATGGCTCTGCCACCTATTAGTAATTTTAAACACCGTGTCACAAACTTAACCTCTAATAGCAGCAAGAAGGAATGAACTATTTGAAATTAAATCGTATCATGGTATTTACAACGTGAAGGATAACTGAAATAAAATGTCAAGAAAAACAAAGAGTACTTTAAGCATGTAATCAATGTCATAATACAGTAGGCTTAAAGTCGATTTTCAAATCTTTGATGTGCAAAATGAGTTCGGATGAAACAGAAGAAAACTTCTGATGCCTTTCTGAAAGTTTATTTGGAGGGCGGAAATGAGGTAAAGATTATACTAGGAGAACCAGAATCTAAACAGGATATCAACGCCAATAACATCCTTTGTTCTACCCACAGTAAGGTATGGCTTTGAGGTTTTAGAAACAGGACCACAATAACCAAAAGAAAAAAACTAGAGACCGCATCTCATGAAGTTGTACCAGAAATACTGTGAATGGCAGGTATATGGTGGAATGCAACAATATATTAATACATTATCCCGGAATAAAGAATCATGTAAACTGTATACAAAATCTTAGTTGCTGCAAGAATATCCTTGGCACATTTAGTCAGAAAATATCTCAGAAGAGAGATAACTTGTTTCATCATTTTTAGTATAATTAAAGTAGACATAACAAAACTCCCAATTTGAGTGCTTGGGTCGTAAGTTTATGCATAATGTTTGGCAAGCTTTTGATGCAACAACTTGTATTCACAATTGTCACAAAGTTGTATGCAGAAGATGAGGCAAAATTTTGTATCTGAATAAGGATTCCAAGATTAAACCTGGGTTAATTAAATTTAAAGTATTCTGAGCAACTGTTTAGTTCAATCCCTTATGGCCAAAAAGGAAAATGCATTACAATAATCACACAAATAAATTATAAAATCAGTATGGAAATGTATCACTCGTTCCGCCATTTCAGAAACATATCCTGCTCATGCAAATAAATTATAAAGAATTTTGCATGTAAGTGAAGAAACTTTTGCCACACCTGTGTGCCAAGAGCTTTCAACAGATTCCCCCGCTCCTTCTCCATTTGAGCACGAGCACGCCCATAACTTAATGAAGCTCTTGATAGTGTACTTCCACTAGTACACGTATTTTCAGCACCATATTTCCTACTATCTTCTGACAACTTTGTTCCTATTCAATAATTAAGATTATGATTTCTAATATAAACATTAGGCCTCGTGAAATGAGGTTCGAGCTTGACAAATGATATAAAAGTTACCAACTTACCTATTTCAACTTGTTTGGACCCGGTGACAATATATCCCTCCACACCACGAACAATATCCCTTTGATAATGCTAGAACATGAATAAAAATTTCTATAAGTAGAAGGAAAAACATTATTTGAGATTAGAAGGGCAAGAAAGGAAGTAAGCCACCTTGCCGGCACGTGTTGATATGTAAAGCTTTTCAAGTTTCTGATGCTGCCCGAGTTCTGCCTCATCAGTTACTAAACTATCTGAACCTCCATATCCTCCAGCTCCAAACTGCTTGAGGACAGCCTAAAATAAAGCGCAAAGTAATCAGATTGTCTGTTTCACTCAAATGAAAAATGAAATGTAAGCAAACCTTTGTTACAGCAAACATATGATCAAGTTTAGCCATGTTATTTTATTCACTTAAAAAACATCATTAGTAACAGAGAGGGATGCAAATGAATGGGAGCTTCAAATTGATAGATTGTAGTTGAAGATACAACATAAACTTTTTTAAGTGCATGTGTAGGAATATGACTACATGGAGAGAAAACGTGACATGAAAAACAGAGTTACAACAGAAACTGAAATCCCTTAACACATCGTTAGCACAGCTTTCTAAAATGGTTATTGTTATTGAGCTGCACTTTAGGCACCAAGGTAACCAGTGTGCTGCCAAGACCATATGGAATGTGCCCATGATCAAAACACTTTTCCACACGATTTCTTTAAGGGCACACTGCTACGTAAAACATAAGAACAACATTACGTTTCATCGGATGAACAAGCCTGACCTGCATCCCATAACACTCACTTTAGGCTATAACTTTTCAAGGGGTACGGAACAGGAAATGTATTAAAACGTTCACTACCCAAATCTTCTTTTCGCAGTCCTCCACAGACGCATTTCTCAATTCACCAAATGAGATTCCCAAGATTAACCATGAGATTCCAAGAATGTTATGGGTGCAATACATATTTTACACTAACTTTGGGTTTCCCATCAAATTGCAATCAACAAGATTGATAAAAGTTTAGGACTTTGAAAAGCAAATGCATAGTGTTGTATCACACAATTGAAAGCAAATCGAAAATCTCAAACCCAACAGAGATAAAAGCATTGCCAGCATAACAAGATTGCAAATTTCACCAAGAAAATAGAAAAGAAAAGGACTTGGAAAAAAAGAAAAATCCAGCAAATCAACCGGGAATTAAAATTTGGTCACAGATGGAACATCAAATATGGATTCAGGACAGAGAGTTAGAGATTGAAATAAAATTGGATCTGTTGGGAATTAGGATTGTGGGTTGAGAGCACCTGTTGTTGCCTAGCGACCTGTTCGCGAAGCCGGGTGGCTTGCTTTCTGATAGCTTCCATTCGAAACTGAAGGGCCAAATCTGCCGAGCGTTTGGGGTCTCCACCAACAGAATTCGTAAGAGAGATGTTTGAGCTTTCAAATAAAATGGTACGGACTTGCTTTGGAAGAGCTGTTTAAACTTTTGGTCGTGTGCGTGCAGACAGTTCACCTATTTGAACTCAGATTTGTTTTTATTCTTTATTTTTAATTTTATATTTTATATTTATATTTTATTTTGAATGTGTTGGTACGTAGATGGAAATCATGGAATCCAAATGAAAAAATAGGAATGAAATTAAGATTTTGGAATTTGAATAAAATATAAGGTAAATTAGGATTAAATAGGAAAAATATTAACTTTAAAACAAAAATACCAAGCCAACCTTTTTATCTGGATCAACCACCGTATATGGATCAACCTTTTTATCGAAATTCTCACGCAATAAGCCGAATTTTTTTACCTCCGGTCACCTTAGTTGGTGGTGACTTAAGGCTTGTTCGGTATTCTTAAGAATATTTGTTAGTGCAGGAGAAATCCACTTAAGATTCTAATGGGCTAAGTTATGTAAATCCCTATGGGCTGAGGATTACTTGTACTCTAAATAAAAAAACTTGCAAGATTATTCATCCAATACAATTAAAATTCTATATAGTATCGCTCATTTAAGTTTCCTTTTCCTGTTAAACCCTAGCCCTCTTTCTTTTGTCTATCCCTTTTTGCCGTCCCCTTGGATTTTTTCTTTCCTTTTTTGTCCCTTATTGCCGTCCCCTTAGATTATTTTTCCACCTTGTGCCGTGATCTCCTTTTTTCCCCTTATTGCCTTCCCCCCTCTTCCACCAAGACTACTCAAACCTCTACCCTCACTGGATCTTCTCTCTCTAGTGCTATCGTTACTCACTTTTTTGAAACCCACCGATTCCAACTACCTACTTTGGCTTAGATGAAGCCGTTTTTTTTGGGTCACAATTTATTTGGTTATGTGGATGACACAATTCAGGCCTTTCTGCTACCAATGTTTAAAAAAAACTAGCCTCGGGGCGCGCCTAAGGCGCCTTTGAGGTTGGGCAGTAAGGCTAACACCTCTGTTTTGCTGGAGTGGGTGAAAGGCTTCGCCGAAAACACCTAGGCAGCGCCGGTGAGCCTCAAGGCATCTCAGGAGCCTTGTCTGCCCTTTAAAAAAAAAAAAAAACCACCCAAACCCAAAACGTCTTCGTTTGAGTAAGGGTTTTTAGTTTCAAAATACAGATTCGACCACTACCCGATCGTCCTGCCTTCTTCACCCTCTTCTCCCGCGCCAGAAACACACAGCCGCATCACCCCAATTGATCGTCATCTCCCAGTCGCCAAGCCACCGTCACCCTAGTGCCGTCAGCAAGCCCACAATCAAATCCCCTATTTTAAAGGTTAGGGTTTCTGAAATTCTGAAAAAGTTAAGGATTTGATTTTTTATTTTTTATTTTTTATTTTTTTAACTGGTGTGAAAGCCTTGGAGTTGGAAAGCAGAAAAACAGAGAGGATTGGAGGTATAAGGGGAGGAGGCAAAAGTCTTAAGGGGACTGGAGAAGGATTCGGGATTATGGCTAAAGGCTTAAAGGGATTGGACCGTATGTGTTGTGTACTGTGTACATAAAAATAATTAAAAAATCAGTCCCATGTTGGAATTGTTTCTTCATGATTCTGTGGTGCATCTTTCGTATGTTGTATGCCTCATGTGAATTTTTAATGATAATCTAAGTTGGTATTGGTAATGAGTAGAAGTTTTTTACCTGCCTAATGTACAAATAAGTCCAAGTAATTAAATTAGGAGTTAAATAATAGCCACATGCTATGGAAAGATAAGATGCTATAAGACATTACCTCTTTTTGATCTGCATATATGCCAAAATCAGTACGTGTTCATGAACATTATCTTATTCTTGTTCAATAGTCATTTTCCAAATATTTTTGTTGGCACAATCTTCTCGAAATATTCTATTAAGCTTTTTATTGGATTGCTTTATCTCATTAAGAAAAGTAATTGAGTATGGTCATTGGTCATCATAGTAACTGTTGCATAAATTAATAGATTGTTGGTTCATAAATTGTATGCATCGAATATTTATGGTTTAGGCTTTGAAGAATATGACTTCTTCTTCTAAGAAAGATTTTGCTTGGTAAAGGACAAAATATTTGGATCCGGTCACTAAGCACTTCTATTGTGTTTTTTGTAACCACAAATGCACAAGTTCAATTTCTAGATTCAAACATCACTTGGGTGGTGTAAGTTCGGGAGGAATGATGAGTTGTAAAAAAAGTCCCACCCAATGTGAAGGAAGAATGCTTTGCTAATGTTATGGGAACTAAAGAAAAGAGGAAAGCTAGCCATGAGTTGTGTCGTGGTGGTGGAGAAGAAAGTGAAAGTGTCGATATGGGCACAACAAGGACACCATGTGTTTGTAGTGGGAGTGGGAGTGTAAGTGCCACACATTCACAACAAATCGGTTCTTTTCTACCACCTAGGTCAAGGGGACCACTTGATAGGTATGTTACATCGGAAGCTCGTCAAACCACATTGAATACACCTTTCAAAAAAGAGGAAAGAAGACAAGCATCTCGAGCACTTGCCCTATGGTTCTACACTAGTGTCATTCCATTCAATGCGGCAAACAATGAATAGTATTTTAATGCAATGAAATTGGTATCCAATTTTGGTCTCGGCTTTGATGCTCCTACAAGCAATGAATATAGAACTTGGATGCTCAAAGAAGAAGTTGAGGATGTACAAAGTATGATGAAAGAACATCAAAAGGCTTGGAAGAGATATGGATGCACTATTATGTTGGATGGATGGTCGGATGGCAAAAGTAGGTGTTTTAATTAACTTTCTTGTCAATAGCCCACAAGGTACTTGGTTCTTAAAATCGGTTGATGCATCGGTCTCTATTAAGAATGGAGATTTGTTGTATGGCTATTTGGATGATGTTATTCAACAAATTGGGGAGGATAATGTGGTTCAAGTTATATCCGACAATGCTTCGAACTACAAGAATGCCGGGGCAAAACTTATGGAGAAGAAAGAGAAGGTGTGGTGGACTCCATGTGTGGGTCATTGCATTGATTTGATGACATGCTCAAACGTGCTAGGTGTATTTCAAAGTATCTATATGGGCATCAATGGGTACTAGCTTTGATGAGAAAGTACACCAACAATTTGGAAATTCTTCGTCTGGTCGTCACTAGGTTTGCCACTTCTTTCCTTCCACTACAAAGCTTACAAAAGCAAAGGAAAATCTTGTTGCTTTGTTTACCTCTCAAGAATGGCCATAAAGTACCTATGCAAAATCCCATGAAGCAAAGTTGGCTAAGCATCATGTGTTACATGATTGTGAGTTTTGGGGTCGAGTTTCCTTTTGCATTAAGAGTGTTCTTCCTCTTGTTTGTGTTTTGAGAGAGGATGATTCAGAGGAGAGACCCCCCATGGGTTTTATATATGAGTTGATGGATGCCGCAAACGAGAAAATTGCAAGCAATCTTAACAAAGTGGAGAAAAAATATATGCCTATTTAGAGAAAGATAAATCGTAGATGGAACGATCAACTTCATCAACCACTACATGCGGCGGGTTATTACTTAAACCCACAATTTCGGTATGAGGATAATTTCTCAGATACTGATGAAGTGCGAAATGAGTTGTTTGCTTGCATGGATAAGATGCTTGGGAAAGGGAAAGAACGTGAAGAGGCCGATGTTCAATTGGATTTATATAATGATAAGCGTGGTCCATTTGCAGATTCTATGGCTATGCAAACTAGGAAAAAACGAACACCAAGTAAGATTTAATTAGTCAATTGTTAATATCTTTTTATCATTAACCTTTAAATTGCTTACCTTACTAATATGTTTTTTTAGCAGCTTGGTGGGAGTGCTTTGAGCATAAAACACCCGAGGTAACGAAGTTTGCTATCCGAGTTCTAAGCCTTACTTGTGGTGCATCGGGATGTGAGAGGAATTAGAGCACATTTTCAATGGTAAGTAAATATATTATTAGTATCTTAAGTGTCATTTTTGCTTAAGATGATTAAACTTGAATAATAGAATTGATTTATTTGTAGATTCATACAAAAAGAAGGAATAGGCTTGAACACAAAGGGCTTAATGCTTTAGCCTATGTCAACTACAATTTGGCTTTACAACAGAGAAGTAAGAAAAGGAGGGAGAAGTATGATCCTATTGTTGTGGAAGAAATTGCCTTTGATGATGAATGGATAATAGAGATAGAAGTGATAGACGCATATTTATGCGACTTAGTTAACTAGTTTTCTTGCATTTACGTTATTAGTTCTTAGTTATTTTAGTACTTTAAGCCATTTTCGTGTGTTTGTAGGTCCAAAGGGTTAAGGTAGCAAGAAAGTGCATTTTGGTGCATTTTGGAGCAGTTTTGAGCTTGGAATGGATTACGTATGATATGAGCAAGATGGATGGACGAATTTGAAGAAAAAAAGAGGCTAGGAACATGCTAAAAATCTGGTGAAACAAATACAAGTTGCAAGAAGGGATAAATTTCTAGAAGGATTGGCCAAAACTTCACTCAAAACCATGCATACCCCATAAAATTCATCAATGCCGTGGCCTTCCCTTTGTTTTACTTCCACCAGATTTTTTAGTGATGATGCAATGCCTATCTCACTATGACATTTGAGTGGATGATGCAATGCTTAACTCACCATGACATGTGAGTGGATGACTCAAAACCTACCCTCACCAACAATTCTCCACCTTGCCATGCCTTACCTACTTCATTCCACCAGATTTTTGCATTAAACATGTCCATCCTCTTCCTATAAATACCATGGCAGCAACCTCATTCAAATCATCCAGAAATTAACCATTCTCCAAGCCTTTCCTTGCCTCTCATACATATCTAAACCCCTTCCCATCCATTCCTCCAAATAACCAACCCTTCAACATCATTCCAACCTTGTTGTGGCGGCAAGGAGAAGGAGAAAAGTCCTTGGACGCGCTTGCTATCCAACATGGATCGTTGGAATGTTTAGGTGCTTTCTTCCCTTTGTTTTTCAATGGTTAAATTTGTTTATCTTTGTTTTGTAATAATGAGGAACTAAACCCCCCTTGGCTAGGGGGGATTCGAAATACATGTTTATGCTTGCGTTATGATTTGAT